CTTTAAAGAAATAAGAGACTTGATGACATTTGTGTATAACCAAAAGATGTCTGATATACGAAAAGGTGAGAGAGACATGCAGAGGTGTCAATGAAGATAACTCTCAGAGGCTAGCACATAATTTATACTTTGATCCTCCTTTTTTCTATAAATAGGACCTTTCCATGTAAAGGAGATCATGTCATTTTAGGCATCGCTCTCCCCTTTTCTTGTCATAAATATTTTTAATATTGTGGCATGGGTTTGAGAGCCCGAGGAACACCCCCACTTTTGGCCCGTTGGGGTCAATCACTGCATCACTCTCCCTTCGCTTTTTTTTTCTCTCACGGTTCTCTACGCTTTATTCCTTGGGCATGCCTACATGATAAATTAAGATTCAGCAATTGCGATTTTATTCTAGAGTGTGGTTTTGATTTGTAATCAGATTGAAGCCCTAGTAGAAGTATAAATTTTTTTCTATCCCAACATTGATCTGAAATAAAAAATGTTTGGCTATTTAATTAGGCTCCGTTTGGGATCACTTTTGTTTTCTATTTTATGTTTTTTTTTTTTTTTGGTTCATACTTTGACTTAAATTAAAACATGTCTGACAGAAATAGTTATTTTTAAAAATACTCAAAATATCTTCGGAAGTGTTTGGGAGCGCCTTTTAATAAGATTTATCACCAGATTTACTAAATTCAGTCAAACGCTAAATTACAAGAGTTTCGTGGATCATGATTTTTTGGATTTAGGATTCCAAATTTTGTCTTCAATTCAACTTACATCCAGATATACTAAATCCAAGAGTAAGGTGAATCTACTGGATTTACAATGTACAGATTTAGTAAATCCTACTTGCAGCCAAACACTCACTTCAAGTGTGTTGAGCATTTTTAAAAGCAAGATGATTTATTTTTATAAACGAAAAATAAAAAACATATAAAAATTATGCTAACCAAAAATCTTTTCAATAATAAAAGTAAAAACCAAACTTAAAGCAGAAAACAAAGCTTTAGATTTCTTTCTCACCCCTCTGTCTCTCCTTTCTTAATTTTCACCCGGAGCATTTCTCATCATCCCCTCCTATCTTCTTTTTTATTTTTTTTATTTTTGCGTGGGGGGGTGGGGCGTAGGGGGTGGGAGTAAATAGGTGAGAATAAACTATACTCAGAAACAGGAAAAGCTGAAAAGGGAAAAAATCTATGAAAAAAGAAACAGTACCGCAAGGAAATGTAAAATAGAAAATTTTAACTCAGATTGAACCGCAGTGTCATAAGGGACATCACTATCCTGCATAATCTGATAATATTCAGTATATACTCCTATCTTCTTGTTCTCGGGTTTGAGTGTCTGAAACAATCAGACTTTACTATGGAAGGTTATAATTTGCTAAAAATCTGTAGAGAAAAGTTTCAAACAATCAAACATGTTGTTTCAGGACAAACCCCAAGATACCAAAAGAAATTAAAAAAAGACAAAAAAAAACATTTTTATTGAATTATCTTCTAAATTTGGAGTACACAAATTTAGAATGCTCCCTATAAGATTAAAGCAAAGCAATATTCCTTAATATTGCAATATATCCGCATCAATTTTAAGGACTCATTTGATCTTCGAAGATAGAAAATAAAGAAAAAGCTTCTGGCCTTTATTATTTTCATTTAATTAGAAATCATATTTAATTTAAGCTTTGCAAATCCAAAAAAAAATAAAACAAAAATATAATATAAAATTGATTAAAATAAAATTCTTTTCTAAAATGAAATCTTTTCCACAAGTAATCAAATGAACTCATTACAAAATCTATAGACATTGGCATTCTAAAAGCCACATTTTAGTTGTTTACAACAATATGCTAAATATGTGATAAACGTGTTCTTGCTTTATAATTTGATCAGTTAGCTATACAGATAATCAAGTAGTTACTCGTCAACGCATCAATTGTCTAAAATTAGATAACATTTTTTCAAACTTGAAAAACTATATTTTATATAAATCCAATTTATTTCTCCTTAAGACATTTTAAAAAGAAGCTCATACAAGCTAAAATCAATAATGACTTCTAATACTCATTCAAATATTAAAAATAATAAATTTTACTACCGTATTGAAATATACTCTGATTCGAGAATAAGAATATAACTGCAAATGAACTGAGCAAGACCAAGCAAGGGTCGCGATTAAACCCTTATATTAAGAGCATGTTCATGCTCAGCCCAAGCTCAATTATAACATTTAAGATTGTTCAAGCTCGTTTGTAAATATCCTAGCCAAGCCCAAATTGAGCTTGATTCAAACTCGATTTATATATAAGGACTATCAAGCTTATTAACAAGTAGTTCTTTAACAAAATAAATGAGTCATAATTAATCGAGTCTTACACAACTTTATATGAGCAATTTGTTAGCAAAAGAACTAGTCGTATCAAATAAAGTTCGTTGAATCTAAAATAAACATTTAAATAATATTGTTCACAAATGAATTGTAATCTAGAAGTAATTGAGTCGTAAGGGAACTTGTTCAAGAACTTACAATAACACTGTTCATGAACATAAATGAACCAAATAACAAGCTATTTAAGCTTGTTTATTTAGTAATTAAGTACTTAAGAAAATGTTCAAATTCATTTGAATGGTTAATTAAATGATTATGAAAGAGTTTTAATCGAGTCAAGCCATGAAAAACTTGTGGAATGCTCATTTCATTTGCATCCCTAATTGTATAATGAAAAATGATCTGCACATATCTCGAGACAATCAAATAATTGGTCACCTCACTTCAGTCGGCCGACCAAGCTCTCTCCCTTGGTCATCTCATTTCAGTTGGTCGATCCACTCTCTCTTTCGACTAGACATATAACCACGCTAAAGCGATCATCATCTTCAAAAAATTCACATATAAGCCACTTAATTTCTTATGTATTGAGCGTTATCAGGACCAAGGCAAAGAAACATGGACATGAAAGCCCGCATCGATCTCAAGACGTCCAACGGTCGAAATAAAAAGGAATAAAATGCTCTTTGCTTATCTCTTTAAAACATATCCAAATTTCTAATTTTTGTACATTTTACCCCTCATATCTTCTGTAAATATGAAGGCTTCATGAGGTTAAAGGGGAGACTTTTTTGGGGGCAATCATCTTTTGTAACCTCTAATTTTATGGAATAAAATAAGTTCATGAGCCCGTAAACACTTCCCCCCCCCCCCCGATCGAGGGAACTCCTCCTCCTCCTCCTCTCTCTCTCTCTCATTTCTCTATCTCTCACGCTCTATTCCTTGAATACGATCTACCGAACAGATTCAAATTCAACACTTGCTAAGGGCTCGTTGGCGCGACTTCTTCTGCGCGGTGCGGCGGGAGGTCATGGAAAGACACTATTTGGCGCTGCGTTTAGCTCGCGGCCACCGTGAATCTGGGCGAAAAGCCGACTGCGGGTGAGACCCGGCAGCGTGCATTACCACTCTACTTTGTTACTCATGTATCCCTAATTTTATCTTCGTTAGTTCTCCCACGTTCTTTAGCTGCCCCGCGCCCTACCGAGTGTGACCTTCCGGCGGATCCAGGTACGTGGGGGAGAAAGAGGGATGATGTTTCTAGAACAAATTCAGATAGCTAAGGGAGGAAGGAGGAAGTAAATGGTATTGCTGGTGGGCGACCTAGGCTTGTTTTGCAGTCTCGGGCGGTTTCGTTGGCCAACGACAATACGGATGGTCATGGTAAATTTACTTTAATCGTTAATAGCAAGGATTCAAATCCATTTGGACTTGCTTGCCCCAAAGAGGAAGTGTTGGCTGAGAAGGGACAGGATTGGAAGAAGCTTGATGATAAGGGACTAATGACCTTACTTCAGGTAAAAAGGGTCGTGGCTTGGGTAATGGAAGTTTGTCTGAGGATCACACTCAGTGAAGTTGGAGCAAGGAAGTTGCATCTAATGCTCCTGCTTCAATGTCTGGTTTTCTACGTCCACCTAATATTTATTGATTTTGCTTTATCAATTTGTGCTATTTGCTTATTTTTTTACTTTCTTTGTTTATAATTTGTTTATATTGTGCAGCTTCTGCTTTGATAAAATAGTTTCCTGCCTTCTAATTTCATTTACCTTACGTAACTTATTTAATTCTATTAAAAAAAAAGAACTATGTTGGAATTAACTTGCTTCATTTTTTGTTTGGACTATATATTAATACTTTAGATTAGAGTTTGCCCTCTTTACTTAGGCATTAATTGAGTCTTCTATCTAGCCATCATGAAAGTTATTCGAGTTCTTGCTTGTCTAATTACTGCTCACAATTTTCTTAAATAATGGTGTTAGTTTCTATTGTTGCATTGATATCTTATTTTTATTAGTGGCTACACATTTTGTGCTCCCTAACATTGATAGTTGTGCTCCCTATCATTATTACAAATAAATTTACTGAATAGGGGCAGAATTATCAATTTTTCAGAAACAGCTGACCTACAACTGTTTTCACACAGCTGCAATAAACAGACAGTCTACTTCCCCGCAGCAGCTTCCTGAGGCAGTTTAGCTGCTGCAGCTGTGCCTAACAAAGCCTAAGAATAAAAATTAGTGGAGACTTTTGACATCAATCTCAATGCAAATATCAAGTAACAGAGAAAGGAACGGCCATGATCAACTTAGAAAAGAACACGGTTTCTACACGCTAGTATGGGTGGAGGACAGACCTTTGAGCCATTTGCCGCCACCGGTGAGAAGCCGTTAGAAACAAACCCCAAACTTAGATCGTCTCCTTCGCTATTAAACACCACTATTCCTTCTCGTCTTCCTCCCTCAAAGGAAAATAAACAGCCTTTTCTCTGGTTTTCTCTCCGGCCCTTCAGCTCGCCGGTGGAGAGCAATATGAGCTGATTCAATGACCCCCCGTCGAAGTACCTCGGAAATGACCACGATGGAGACAATGCGTTTGAAACAGCTTCTGCTTCTGTGCCTTCGTTCCCATAGCTCTCGTTTGGCCCTCGTGGGTGGTAATCACACCGCTGCTCGTTTTTGCACCCGCTAAATCTCTGCCGTCCAATCATTCCTTCTTTTCTATCTTCTTCTTCTTTCTTCTCCTTCCGACGAAATATTCACAGCCGATCCGGTGGATAGAGGTGCTCGGCAGTGCGGTTGAGCCCGGCTGGAATCAGATCATGGTCCGCTTCTCATATACACGCTTTCTCTGCTTCGTAGCCCGAGCAGCCATACTTGCCGTCATCGTCTGCTTCCGCTGGTACCACGCAGGCGAAGGGCCAGCTATGAAAAAATGGGAGGTCTCTCTTTTACCGGAGCTTCTCCGCGGCCTCAATGGCATTGAGCTTCTCACACCTGACGCCAATCGCGCCGTTTTCCATGTGGATCATTCCTCCCAGATTTCAACTGTTGTTGAGAACCGGGTGGAGCGGATTAATGTCGAGGACAGCACATACGCCATCGGTTCCGGAACACAAGATTTCGTCTTCGTCTCCGGCGACAATTCCGGCATTCGTTTCGCCGACATCGCCCTCAAAATAGGCGGCATCGCAGCCGTCCAGGTCGACCTAAGTGCCAATGAGCCGTTCCGCATTCCGCCCAATTTCCAGATCGTCTACATCAGTCGACTCTCCTCCACCGTAATCGCCATGCGGAAGATCTCGGGGGCCCCTCCGACCCTCAACGTCACCGGCAAACAAACAGAATTCTCGCAGTATCGGAGGCCAAAAAGGAAGCAGTGAACATGCTGAACATGCTTGAGGACGTGGCGCTTGAACCCCCGGCGAAGGGGCGGCTTCAACTTCATCATCTGACTCGGTACCTTCCCGATCTGCTCGGAGACTCATTGGCTGACTACCGCCGACGAGTATTCGTTGCCCGGTAGCGAACTCTGGTTCGCGAGACGATACCCTACAAGAAATCTGGACTTCGAGATCATTCGAGTGGACGTCAACGATGCAATCAGCACCGGTGATTCGCCCGCCGTTACATCTGGTGGAGCGGGAAGCATGACGGAATGGCTGTGGCGAAATGTGCGGGAGGAGGATTTTGTGGTTATGAAAGCGGAGGTGGAAGCGGTGGAGGAAATAGTGAAGGGGAGGGCGATCAGGCTCGTCGACGAGCTCTTCCTGGAGTGCAGAAACCAATGGCAGAAAGGGAGAGGGTTGGCCAAGAGCCGGCGAGCGTACTGGGAGTGCCTCGCGCTTTACGGCAAACTCCGGGACGAAGGTGTCGCCGTACACCAGTGGTGGGAATGACATTTTTTTATTTCTTTTCTATAGATGAAAATAAGTTCTAATAAAATAAAACTGGTAAGGTACGGAAAATCATGCTATGCATTGACACACTCTTCTCTTCAATTAAAGAGGATGAAATCACAATGCTTATGTACAATGTCAGTTCAGCAGTAATAGCTGTAACAGGCCGCAGGCCGCAAAGGTCGTAGTCGATTACTATGAAGGCTAGTCCATCCTGAATGTTGTAGATGATGGTCATAACACCTGTTGACAGTGGAGGCCGTAGTTGAAAAACTTTTTTAGTGGTTGTCCACGTAAGCTGTAGATAGTTGCTTCAGAAGCGTCGGTGGGCCACAGAGACCGCATTAGGAAGTTGTAGGAGCTATTAGTCACGTAGGTCATAGTTGGTCACATATGTTTTAACGGTAAACTCTGATAATGTATGCATGCTACAAAGTTAGGACTTGGGAGTTGCATCAACCATCTCTTACTTTCACCTATTATTCACCGCCTATTAATTGCTCGCTCACTATAAACGCTCTTCATAACTCCTTATAGACACCCATCACCCACCGTTCACTAGAGACCTCCTCTATATAATTTTAAATCAAAATATAAATTAGATAAAAATAATAAAAAACTAAAGTGAGCCAACATGACCCCTTTGTTTTTCAGTAGCTCTAATGATGAGCATGTATTATTGTAAGTGCTTTCTAAATCCCAGAAGAGGGGATCTTTTTATAAATGTTAAAAATTACTTGATGTTGTAGTCACAACAATAGTCAGCAACATAACAAATCAATGCAATTTAAGTGTAGCCACAGAGCTTTTTGGAGTTGTAGAGTTTTTACAATAGTTTTTCCTTATTTTTCTTGAACTTTCTTTTGCTTGCACAAATTTATAAGGGCCCTTTCTTTGCACAAAGGTCAAGCTATGAGAATAGACTTTTTTTTTTTTTTTTGGGTTCATCCTTGTCCTCTTGTTTCTTTAGCTCCTCATAAAGTCCTCATTTAGATGGATGGATTCGATATAATGGAGGTGAGCGGCAACTGAGGTTCTCCATCTCTATGATAGGGGTTTAGTTTTCCTCTAAGAAAATAGATGGTTGTCTTTATTTTAATAAATTGGATCAAATTATGAGATTTTTCAACTTATTTTTAAAACGTTTTAGATTTGATTCTTATTTATACATTTGTTTAACATTCACCCCTCTTCCTCTTGCTTTGGGATTTAACTGCAATGCCTTTTCATAATAGGATTGGTGTGCATTTCTTCCTTTATTTTCAAAAGGAGAAATAGATTTTTAGAATTATCAAATGGACAATCATATTTCATCGTGCCTTATTCATAAATAAAAGAGAGTACAATGATGATATTACATTTTTGCATTACTTTAAAGTGTATGTACTAAGATATTTCTGATTTTTTACATGTATAAGTTTGTAGTCATACTACTTTCTGGCTCGACCAACTAAGCTAATTATTTGGCTTTGAGTTGACAGGATTAACTCAGTCAGCTGAGCTTTAATCAGTATGGGTCGATCGGCTAATATGACACGGTTATCGATTCTTAATTCATAATGAAGAGCTTATAGGACGTCTATGGGATGGCTGGAGATGATGTGGAGTTGGATCTTCTCTCAGATAGACTCTAATAAAGGGTATGATACCATATCGGGTTAGATTTTTTATAGTGGTTAGCTTAGATGCTCTTTAGTTCTTGTTTTTGATAGAATGGTTCGTGCTCGGATCATTCGATCATCTTCTTATTCGTCTCATGGCATGGTTAGTTTTAGCATTGCTGGCTTAACTCGAACAGCTTCATTTGATCGGTTAAGTTGGACTCACATCCTTTCAACAGCGGGCGAACCTTCTTTATACTCTTTCTTTCTGGATTATTAGATCTAAGTTAGATCAGCTCTCAAGTATGAGGGGCTTAAATTTTATTTATGAGATGTAATCTTTGTTGAAGTTCTATTTTATTTTATGATGTATCTTAATGTCGATGAGATGGAATTGGTAATTCAAGATGACAATCTAGCTTTGATTGGCATATGTGAGAAACTGAATGTGGTGACAATAACATTAGACCATGGGACAAGAGAACACAATCGACTCTTAAGCAAGATGGTGGGGTTGATCACCTTCACGTCCCTTCTGATGGACACGAAGAAGAAGCTAAAATAACTCAAGACGTCCTCAAGGTTGTTTGCCCGTCGTATGGATGAGATTGAGAGTTCATTCACTTAGTCAACATGGATCCAACAAGGTGAGGAGATGCTTGAGCTATCGACTTGTGTGGAAAAGGTGAAAAGGATGGAAGAGGTGATGTTGACTTATTCTTAAGAACTATTTGACATCTGCGAGAGATCTCTGATGGTCCATGTCCAAGATGAGTCAAATTGGTTGGGTCGGTTTAGATATGATAGGGATTTTTTATCTAAGATGTTGCTTCAACTGGGGCATGTCTTGGTCGAAGCAGCAACAAAAGTAAAGAATTTTGTTTCAGACTAATTTTAAATGCTTGTATTATAATTTTAAGTCTATTTTTGGAATAAAATTTTTTCTTCACTTTTTTTGTGTCGATGTGATACCACGGCCAGCTCATGATAGAAATGACTATTGTATTCTGCTTTTACCCTTGTGCGATGGTTAGATTTCTTCCATTTTCATATATATATATATATATATATCTTCGTTATATATATATATAGGGCACAAGTTTGGTGAGATCACACTTTCTTTCTCTTTTTTCTCTTTCTTTCGGCCTCCCAATTCTTTGCCTTTGCACTCTGCTTAATGGCTCCTTGCTATTCTATGCAAAATTTTGGGTTGGTTGCTCTGAACGAACGATCATGAATGACCCTAGAGGACGTCAATCTGTTATAGGAGACTAGTGTCTTCAATCCTACCATCAAGCTTTGGGATACTGGTGAAGCTGATAGCTACCACTTTGTACGGTGATGATTTCCTATTTTACAAATACCAGTTTTGGTTGGGTCTCTAACTGCCCCTTTGTCATCTCAATCAACTATGACAGCATATCCTCCTAGATTAAGTTCAACTTTATCATGACCTTCGTCATTTTTTATCGTCGGTCAATAATCCCAAGGTTCATCGACCTCTTCAGTCGTTTGTTTTTTTTTCCTTATTGGTTCGGACGAGTTCGTGCAGTTTTTTTGCGATCTCCAAATCACTTATAAGTTATTTTTTATTATTCATAATGGTCGGATAAAGCTAATTACACAATAAATAACATGTTATATTAATTAATATCTTAAGAGCATAGGGTTAGGGAAAATTTGAAGTATATGATATTCCAAGCCAAAATTTGTAAAGCAACCCCCAATATTGAGGCAACTATTATATTTATTTTTAGGGTGCTGTGCATGTAATTTTCCCTTATTTTTATTTAATTTTATTTATATTTCTATCAAAAATTCGTCTCCTTAATATTGATTTGACTTTTGTGATTCATATTTGATCAAATTTGATGTGAATTTTATTTTTATGTTAAATATTAAATAGCTCATCATGCAAAAAATAAAATAAAAATTATTTTTAAGAAAAAGATGAGCAGCCAATCTCCGTTATTATAGAATATTCAAATTATTTTCAATCTATATGTTACTCGTGATTTTAAAATTAGAATGGACCGATTGATTTAATTGTGAACCGGTCATCCGATCAATCTAGTATAAGTTCAAAATCATTTATGCAAAGGGCTTCAATTAGGAGTGCAAGCGAGCCGAGTATGAGCGGGCTGAGGTTTTGTTCGTGTTCGGCTCGTTTGCATTAACTCCTGTTCAAAATATGCCCGTGCTCACATTAGACTTGTAATGAATCTGTTTGTGTTCGGCTCAATATTTGCTCGAATTTATTTGTGATCAGCTAGAAAAACTTTTGGTTCATTTGTTTGCACGATTTTAGCTTGAACTAAGTTGAGCTCAGCTAGCGAGCCAAAATTCCCCCACAAGCCGTGAGGAATTTCTTGTTTTTAAACTGTTCTAAGCTATTAGGAAAATTTTTCTCATATATGTGATGTCGAACCAATGTAAGAGCGATGAGATATATAACACTCGAACTTTAATTCTTACATTTGCCACGTGCTGAAAGATTCGCAGCGTAGAATAATAATCTAATGTCTTAACATTAGACAAAGATTCAACACACACATATAAAATGAGGACTAAAAATGATGAGAAATCTCGATTTTTATGTGAAAAACCTCAGAAAGGATAAAAAGACGGAGAAAATATTATGTTCGGAGTCCGAACATGCAGCGGAGGTCTAAACTCCCGTTCCGCCCCCCTATATCATGTCTATCATCCAGACGAGTTGCGTCCGGACTAAAGACAAAATATTTGAGCTGTGCCCGGACTCTCTGCATAATATTTTTTGGACGAGTTTGCCGAAATAACAATATATGTCCAACGTGTTTAATTGGACTTATTTAATCATATGTGACGTTTATTTCATGACGTTATATTCACATCGGAAGTCAGGGGGAGTCTTTTACATTCACATTGCGAGTATTTATAATGTAATAAATTAGAGTGGTACCTTTTCTATTTGATATTTTTCTTGTAAATTACCACATCAATAAAGCTTTAATGTGGGACCACATCAATTAAATATTTTATTGAATCTTGTAAGTTTTCTAATATTTAATTATGCATATTCAATCCATAAAAATATTATTATTATTAAACTATTATATTATTTAAATTTTATTAAAATAATTTAATATTTAATTTTAAATCCATTCAAAACATTTGAAAAATAAGTATCTTTTACTTCTATCCTCGAGTTTTCTTCAATACTTTAAGCTCTTGTCCCTCATGAGAGATGTGAGTCTCTATTTATAGAGGTACGGGTGATATTAATGCATGAATATGATTCACTCTGATCGGACGATCCATAAAGATTTCTAAGATAAAATAACATTTAATGAACATTTGAGTATATTAACGATGTCGGAATTGAGTGATCTTAGGCTCGTTTGATTTATCTTGTTGAGTGCTCGATTCGACTATAACTCGTCAGATTTGACATACGTTTGATCTTCCAAATATATTGAAAAAACTTTCAAACATTGTTTAGCAACTTTATCAGGGCTTGATTTAGTTCGGTTGAGCCAACCATGATAACATTGAGTTCATTTCATCAAGTCGGTCGGTTTTGACTATAAGTTTGTTGTAATTTGAGCTGCGGATTACTTTGCCATTCCTTATTCAAAATATTATCTCGAAATCTTGTGTTATGCCAATATGTAAATTTAGGTGTGATATATGCAAATACATAAGACGATGTTTGTTATATGTGTAAATTTATCTAAATATAAAAATAAAAGTTTAAGTGTTAAACATGTAAATATATAAAAATTGCGTGGTATGTTTGAAGATTTTCCAATTTCATTTTTTATTTCAAAAAGAAAAAAATTATTTAGTTGAGTCAAAATTAATTTTAGATAAGACTTATTTTTTATTTAGATAATTATTTTAAATTTCTCAAAAATAGAAATTAATTGTATAATGATAAAGAGACTTGATGGTGAAATGACGAAGAGAAATTATTACTAACAAGCAGAAATGAGCTCTTAAAATTGGAAAAATATAATTATACGAAAAATAAAAGCATGGCAATGTGGGTTTTCAGTAAAATAAAAGCCAATAATATTTATTGAAGATGGGGTTAACATAATAATATTTAAATACGAAAATATAAAAAATAGAAATAAAAATGTAACTTCTAGAAAATATTAAAATAAAATTATAAATTTACATTCATACCACCGGATTCTTAGGTATAGATATATATATATAATATCTAAATTTTATTTTTTTATATTTATATCATTCAAATATTTCACATCCTATCAAAAATATCATCATTTTAATTTTCAAAAAATTAATGTAAAAATTGAACTTTAAGCACATGATATATAAATAGATAAGAATTAAGTGGTAGGTGGACGATGGAGATCGAACATCATATGTATTTTTATATATTATTTTCAGCCATCCTGCCATTTAATACATACTTCCAAGCTCCAATACATACAATCCTTAAAATACACGAATCCAAAATTATCAAATTTCAACTAAAAATAGACTCATAAGTCCCAGATTAAAACTAGCACGCCGGCCGACATGCCGCCGGAACCCAAACGCAGTCATCTCTTAACCTCAACGCGCCGCCATCATCTTCCGCCGGCGTTTGAATCCCATAAACGGCGTAACCCCTTCGACCCTCCGCCTCCCTCCTCTTCTTCACCTCCCCTCCGATACCTCCTCTCCCGACGCAGATCCCGAAACCTCCCCTTCCTCTTCCGGCAACCGGTGAAACACTGGATCGGAAAAGACCGCCGCCAAAACCATCACTTTATCCGCCGCAACAAGCGGCCCCACCACCGCGCCTCCCACCACCTGCCCCTGCGGCCCGGCGAACGACACCGACATGTTCCTTTCTCTGCCGCCGAGGAGGAGAAACGTTGCCGAGAGAGAAATTAGGTCAAATCGACCGCGGAAAGTTAGGGCGGCGGAGGAAGGGGAGGTCTGCAGGATTGTGGCGGTGGAGATGGGACCGGAGCCGGCGAGTACGCAGAGGTTTAATCGGCGGCGAAGGGAGAAGTCGGAGAGTGATTTGGCGACATCGAGGCCGGCGGAGATTTCGAGAACGTGAGTGCGGAGGGCGGATCCGGATCCGGGTTCGGATTCGCAGGTGATGATTACGGGGGGTTTTAGTTTGTTCTTGGAGCCAATTGGCCGGCCGCGCCGCCGTTTAGCAGAGTGCTCGATGCTGGAACCATCGCCGGCGTTGGTGGTGCTGCGGCTACTGATTTCCGGCCAAAAGTTATCGCCGCCGGGTTTCATTGTTCGGAAATGGTTGGAAGCTGCAAGAAGCTGCGAGGGGAAAGAGGGTTTTTATGGAAGGAATTTGGACCTGAATGACGTCCAGTGAGAGGAGAGAGTGTGGGTCCCGCCTCGTCTCTGGGCATCCGCACCTACGGACGACCGCACCTAATAAATGAAATTAGATGAGGATATTCATCTCATTCGAGTTTTATTTTAATTATTTTATGTTTTGACATGTGTTTTAATTCTCTTATACAACTGATTTCTTGATTGTATATAAATATTATTAGACTTTATTACTTTATCGCATAAGTTATTATAGATATTCATATTACATAGGTGAATTTTTATTTAATTACATTGAGAAAATTATGCATCAATATAAATTATTTTCAGATAGACTTAACATAGGGGATGAGAGTGAGAGGGAGAGGGAGAGAGGGAGAGAGGGAGAGAGGGAGAGCAATATCACACTAAAGAACGGTAAATTTGTGCGACCTATATTTATGAAATATGCCATATATTTATAGGAATGATTTTTTGTACATTTACATGGTGCACCTCTAGAATATCTAGATACAACGGAGGTATTTTTGTCCATATGTGAATGTCATTCATAATGCTCACAGGTGCGGCTAAGTCGTTGTTATGTCGGGTGGCTATGTAGTTAGGTTGTTGTTTGGTCGGACGGCTATCAGGTCAAGCAACTACTTGCTAGAGTCCACGTCAACTGTCTCGAAACTGAGAGATGCACTTATCTTTCTCGATTCATCTGAGTTGGTAGGCTCATCTGAGCGAACCTAGTTAGGTGAGTTTAATACACCCCTCATCCGACGCACCACCTTTTTGGTTCATGGGTCAAGCTGGCTAGGCTAAAGTCATGCCAGTCGATCGGATTTTTTGCTGGACCAGTCGAGAGTAGGGGCTGATGTTCAACCAATGGCACTTCGTGTCGATTGAAACACCAAACATCTCCATTGTGGTCCAAGCAAACACCTCCCGACACTCCTAAAGCACATGTATCAGTTCGTTCCTGAACCCTGTACGAAAATGTTCACTGGTTAGAAAAACCTTATCGAGTTCTTCGTCAGACAGATACCTGGAGGATGGCCTCGCTGGTCTCGAGATACCTTCCCTTTTGATTTAGATGTCATGTGGTTCATGGTCGATGTTCGAACCCACTCAAAAATAGCAGCTTCAAGAATGCTCCAAGTTTTCTCAAATCGTCATCACCTCCCCGACGTCTGGGAACTTTACCGCCACATAGTAGGTGGAAGCTATGACTCGATAGTTGTTCAGGAGTGGTCAATCGTAGATGGCATTATAGATCGACAGGGATGTCATCACAAGAAAGACCTCTGTACTACTTCTCGCGTTCTCCCCAAGAGATGGTTAGGGCGACGAGGCCTAGTGCCTCCTTCCTTTCCCTAGAAAATCCGAACAATGGGTTGGTCGGAGTTGTCAATCGGTCGGTCTTTAGGTCGATCTTATCAAACACCGTTTTGAACAAGATGTTGACTGAACCCTCTGTATTAAGAAGAATATTGCCCACCTAATTGTTGGTAATCTGTGTTGTGATGATGATTGCTCCATTATAGGGGCTCTCCTTTGGTGGGAGATCCTCATCTGTAAAGACAATTTGCAAATGGTTACATGTATACTGGAAGCCGGAGCCTATCTCCCTCGAATGTTGTCTCTTTCTGCCTGAGGGCCGAGGTCCTCCCCCTAAAATGACCTGGTCTGATCTGTTTGAGGGTTCTCCTACCGCAATCTTGCCTTGCCGCTGTGTATGTGCATTGACTGCAACAAACTCTTCAAGCTTCTAGGCGCGGATGTGCCCCTTAATCAAGTTTCAGAGGTTACTACATTTCTTTGTGTCGTGGCTATGTTCACGATGGTACCGCCAGTACCTATTCGGATCTCGTAAGGCTGGGGCCAACTTTTATGGCTGGGTCGATTTAAAATAGTCGTTTATCTGGATGATCTGACCAATTTCAGCCTTTGACACGTTGAGAGGAGTCAAACCTTGCATTTCTCGTTAGACATGTGATTGTTCATAATACTGGGTCAGTCGTTGATCAGAGCATCATTTCCATTCATGATTTCTTGGGTCATTCCTTTGCTAATCCCGAGACCGTGAGTTAATGTTTTGGTGACCAATAGAGGGTTGATTGTCTTTTGCCTTATGCGGTTCTCCTCATTCTTTCTGCTTCTTTGAGGAATGGTCAGATGACTCCGACTTACCCTTTGGAGAGTCCCGGAGGTCTTCCTCAGTGAGTTTGTGCTTGTTTTTATCTCCAATACTTCATCAAAAGTAGCGGGTTTAAATAGGTTTAGGTCATACATAAACTGCTCACTTCAGACTCCTCGTTTTAAGTTTGTTCCAGCTATATCAGGCTTGAGATCCCTAACTTCGAGCATCTCGTTTTGGACGCGGCTGATGTACTCTCACAGACTCTCATTTTCTCCTTGCTTGAGCTTAGGCAGGGTGTCCGAGTCTTCCTCTGCTTCTGTACTTTTGAGAAGTTTGTATCGAAGCGTCTCTTAAACTCATCGTAACTTGGAATGGTTTCGGTGAGCAGACCGTTGATCCACTGAAGGACCGACTCCTTCAGAGTGGTTAAGAAGAGATGACACATTGAAGGGTCGTCGATCTGGAGCAGACTGACGGATAATTCAAACGATGTTATGCGGTTGATCCGATGGACCCACCTTTGTAAGAATCTTGTGAAGGGATCCTTAGCTTGGGCGGGCAGTATTGCCTCTTTCCGTTGGCGAGTGAACGCCCATCCTTCGAACGACCATATAAGCACTTGTATTCGCTCTTCCCATCGTATTTTTGCTTGTGCAGATGCACCAATGTCAGCGTGTTTGAACTCGCCTTGTCCCTCTATTCACTAGTTGCTGACTTGGTTGTCTAGAGTAAGCGGGTTTGACGACGGGGGCCTTTGAAGATGGATCACCTGAGGTTCAGCCTCCAAACAGGGTGGTTGGTCATTCCTCTAGGTGATTGCTGCCCTGGGATCTGGAATTGCTACATCATGAGGGTCATTTAGACTTTTAAGCCCTGGGCTTGTTCATGGATGTCTAGTTTTGTAGCATCCTATTTGGTCCCATGCTGCTATCTCACTTTGGGAAGCTTCTCCTTCGCAGTCTTTTCCACTTCTCATCTGTGGCCTATCCGCGCTCACCACTTTGTTTTTTAGGATGTTGGATGCTAAATTATCGTTTGTAAAAAAGCCCCAAGAGTTTATGATTGAGTGAAAGAATAAAGAAAGAAAGAGAGTATAGTAACTGAAGTGTTTTCTATAGAGAGAATCAGTAAAAGTCTCTTTATTCATATTTTCTTATATGTAAGAGTGTATTTTCTATAGTCATAAAAAGGATGGAGCAGTTATGGAAACCGTTCTTAATACAATTTATGCTCTAATTAATTGTATGGATTTCATACTAAATGGCTATTGCAGTTTGAATTTTAATATGACGTTAACTTGGTCAGTCGACTTGCTCTACTTCGGTCGATTAAGGAGATTTGTTGAGTGACGACCATACCACGGGTTTGTTCGCCGAGGCGCCTAGTTAAATGTCGATCTCGTCCACTGCGATAAAGGAGAGTCGATCGATTAGTCGTGATCAAGGGTTCTTTGTTGTTTCCCAATCGTCGGGACTGTCCGCACGGCCTATCGTTTAAATCTCTCGCCATATTGTGTTGGTTGATTCCTGACCACACGGTTGGCAGTAAAGTGATAAGACGTCATGTTCGTCCGGCCGTCGTCTGGGCTGTTTGAATGCTTTGAGTTTCTTGTTGATAGTTACAGTATATACAATCACTTAATTTTAAGGCTGCTAAAACATTTAAATGCTAAAAAAATAATGTTTGATTAAGGAAATCAGCATAGAATAGAGGTGTATACGAGTCGAGTCAAGCTCGAGCCACCCTTAACCAGAGCTTAATCTTAATTATTTAATCAAGTTTGAACTCGAGTTTAAATTAAATATAGATGTGCTTGAGAATTCGTGATGGCATGTAATGAATTATCGTATTAGTGTTGTATGAGAATTTAACATACACTCATATAAAAAGAGAATAGTAGGAGGAGATGCGTTGATTTTTTTAACATGAAAAACTATGTAAATGGGAAAAAACACAGGGCGCAGCCCAGTTGGAATAATCCACTATGTAATTATAAGTACATAGGTTCACTTTTCTTCTAAATTATGGAAGATTGAGCTACAAAGTTGATCCTTGTTGATTTATAATATAGTTATAACATGACGTGAAGGTCGCATTCAATTACTTTGGATGTTTTAGTCAGCCGTGAATTTTGTTGACAGTGGTTGTAGCCCCAGGTTGTCTTAGAGTCCTTAGTTGAAGGTCATGATAGTACTTATACATTTGCGGCGTAGATGTATGCTTCATTAGAGTTGGTTGTTCACATAGGATACGGTAGGAAGCTACAATTGTAAGCCGCAGAGGTCGGAGTTGAGGGGGACATAAGATGCGAGCCATGTAGGCAGTAGTAGTGAGTTGTATTAATATTTGTAGGTCGTAATGGTTGAAGTTGGGGGCCGCTTGAGCTGTGTCTCATGGATGGTCACATAGTTCGTAGCGGAGAGTTGTAATAACATTCGTAGGTAGCAGAGGCTCGAGTTAGGAGTTGCATGAGCAATGTGTTGGCATCAATTTTTTATGTTGTAAGTGTAGGATATCCACTTGAACGCTATGAAACATTGCTCGATGCATGTGTTGATTCTCATTCTGCAAGACAACTATTTATGACCCTCCGGTGCATATTGAAGAGGCACGTGATTGGTGACATTCTGCTAGACTCTAGAATTTTCTTAGGAGAAAGTCAGTTGGCATTTGTTTGCGAAACAACTTTGAACGGACAACAAATTTCATTGGGACATTCACATGCAAATCGGGCTCGAATTGCCTTAACCATCAACAAATTTGTCTAGAAAAAACTGAATTGCAAAATGGATCACACGAGCTCGTCGGGAACAATGAATTTACATAGGAAGGACACTCATATTACTAGGGTTCCGTGCAAGAGCGGACAACACGTAAACCGATGCACGTGAATTCAAAAAAAAATTTAAAATTAAAAAAAAAGAGGGATAAAAGCCCTTTTTAT